TTGAAGAGCTCGCACTTGCGCACTAGTGAGGTCCCAGGGAGATGCTGATGCAAGGGTGGACCAGACTGCTATAGTGACAGGGCGGGCAAACAGGGGGCAGGGACCAATCAAATCAGGCTTTGTATACAGCCAACAGCCAACCACAATACTGCACCATTGTACAGTACAGCACAGAAAATGTCATATTGTTTTACCTTTTATTTGGTGTGTGGAAGGTGTGCGGAAGAGGGGGTAGTCTTATACGGCGAGTATATAACAATCTCTGTATTTTGAGTGGAAATGTTAGGGGGTCGTCTTATACGCCCAGTCGTCTTATACGCCGGCAAATACGGTAATTACAGTTACTCCCTTCTAATTGACCTTTTTCTTAGGCAGCCAAGTGCCTCTAATTGAGAACATGAGTCAGAATGCCCGTTGCTCTGAGTTGTACACCAGAGCATTTTGAACACAGATTTCATTGATGAGTTTTATAGCAAGCCAGTTCTTTCTGAGAATTATTTGTCCAAATCTGAATTCAGCATATACAACCTCCAGGATGTGGCTTTCTGGAAGAAAGGCTATGGGCCTCCATAAGGGATAGCATGAAGTAGAAAAGAGATGTGAATGGGGGAAATTAGAAGAGACAGAAATAGTAAGAGCTGAAAGCCATACCTTTTTGTGGCTTGTGGGAATCCTTACCAGGTTCCCCTGTTGGAGCTGAAGAAGAGGTGTTAAGTGCCCGGCACCCAGCAGGCCTTGGCTTCCTGAAAGGCGTGATTAGGGTTAGTGCACAGTTCTACATTCCTTCCCTGCATTCTACATGTAGACAGGTTCTCAGTCTGGGCTCTACCTTAGGATCACCGTGGAGCTTTTAAAATTCCATTGCCCAGGTCACACCCTAGATCTCTGAAGTCAGCATTTCCAGGGATAGGACGGAGCATTCTGTGATTCCAGCGTGTAGCGAAGGTTGTGACCACTGCCCTTCTAGATCACTTTTGACCTCCCTCGCAGGATTCTGATGGTTGCTTTGTGCGTGGTGGTTTTGTTGTAAGCTTTTTTTAATGGGAAGTGTTTTTGTAGGTAATACCCAGGTGGCCTTACAGATCATCAAAAGGAATCAGCTGCTCCCTACAGTGAAAACGCTCTCTGAGATGAGAAAGAAGCCAGTGTTTCAACCTGTCCACCCGATCCAGCCCATCCAAATGCCGGCTTTCACTGTGCAGAGAAAGTGATCTTTTGCACTTGGAAAACTGCTGAGACCCAGGGGAGTATTTATGGACCTTTTTTAGTTGTATCACAACAAAATGAATAAAAGACAGATGATGAAAAGGGTGCTAGTTTTGAAGACGCAATTTAAAATGATTCTAACTCCTGATTTTTTTTGCCAGAAGCTTACTTAAAAATAGAGATTCACAGGGCCGGCCGAGTGGCTCAGTTGGTTAAGAGCTCGCTCAAGAGTTTGCGCTCTGAGCAACAGCGGTTCAATGCCCGGCCCGAGCTGAGCAGCCGCTGAGCTGCCAACAGGTAGCAGGATGGCTCAGCAAAAAAAAAAAATATATAGAGATTCACAAACTCATTTTCATCTGGTTTTCTTTAATCTTGGCTAGACTATTAATTTTGAGCCATTATGTAATGTATCTTTGTCATAGGCAATTAAAACACAGTCTTATCAGAACAGCCTTGTATAATATAATTTGTCTTCCTTGCAACTGTTATTTTGGCATCTGAGATTTAGTGTTAAAGTTTTAAGTTTTAAAACAGAACATCAGCAGTAGACATGTAGCCCAGAAGCTGACCCGGAGGCAGAGGGGAGAAATTGATGTGTTTTATGTTTAGTTGTGACTAAAAGGACCAGAAAACGCGTAATGAAACCCATAGGGCTAGTGAAATTGATTTAAGACGAGATGACTGATCTAGTAAGAATCAGTTTGCTTAAAAATTACACACGAAGACAAACAGGGATTAGGGCGCTCGTCTTGTGTCACCCTCTCAGGCCCTTACGCAGAAGCACTGATTCTGGAGTCTGTTAGCGGGAGTTCAAGGTTTACTGCTAACTTCTTTGCAAATGCAAACAAAAATGTAAAAGCTCCTTTCCAAGAGACAGGTATGTGTTGCAAGATTGACTTGGCCAAAATTTGTCCATAAAGTCGATAACACTAACTTTTAAGTAGGAAAGGAAAAAACAAAATACAGACTTGCTTTAGAAAAATTGGGTGACCCTCCTAGTTAATATCTTGTTGGGTAGATTCATGAAATCTTGCCATGCAGGAGTGTATCTTGCTGTCTCCCATCTTTTCAGTTCCTTCATTTGGAGACCAAGTTCAGATAGAGAAGTGTAACACACGAGCTGTATCTGTGCTTCACAGCTAAGAGAGAGGAGTGTTGGATAAGCACATAATCTATTTGAAACTTTACCTGAATTATTCTGGCTGAAGGGATATACGTATACCAAAACTGAGTATTTGTGATGAGCTAGACATTTCACACAAGAGACTCGGAGATGGGGGTTTTTCTTGCACTTAACGGGGTGGATGTGCTCTTTTGTCACATTGCAGTCGTTTTATACAGAGCGTAGATTCTTTTAAGGTAGATACAGAAAACAGAAGTGGCCTAACTCCCTTGGGCCTCCGGAAGCCTTTTCAGATGAGGTGAGAGGAGGACCCTTAAGCTGCACTGGCACTGGTCCACGTCTGCAGCCTCTGCTTTCCCGAGCCCTAGGCAAGCAGCAGCTCTGCAGGACCCACTCACCTGCAGGACGGTGGCAGAGTTGCTTAGCCTGGCCATTTACTGGAGAGGAGTCCACAGACCTCATCAATTGCTAGAATCCTCAGTGGAGAAAGGCCTGTAATTATATTTGAACACAGTACCTCTTTGGAGAAATGTCAAATTAGGACTTTCCCTGCTTGCTGGTTGATTTATGGGAAAGCAGGAATTGCTGAGGCAGGTTAGGCCCCATGTTACTGTGTTAAATAAGAATACATTTGGCTGGGCCAGCTGAGTGGCACGTTGGTTAGGAGTTGGCTTGGGATGCCAGCTCTGAGCAGCAGGGCCCAGGTTCAGATTCCACATGAGAGCCAGTGATGCTGCGCCCTCTACAGCTAAGATGGTGAACAACAGCTCAACCTGGAGCTGGGCTGCTGTCAGTCACCAGCGACGGCGTGGGCTGCAGTGGGGCTGACCAGCAGCTGCCATGAGCCGCTGTGAGTGTCTGTCCAATGGCCGGCGAGCAACTGCCTCACCCGGGAAGAGCGCAATGATAATACCAACATGGGCCAATGAAGCGACGTCCTCCACAACTAGACTGAAGAACAAAAGGACAGCAACTTGTCTCTTCCCCTTTCCTGGTTCCCCAAAGCTGTTCCCCAATAAAATCTTTTTAAAAAAAAAGAATACATTGGACTGCAAGTAGCAAGGAAAGGATCCATGGTTTAAAGGAAGGGTTTTGTTCTCTCAGTTGAGAAGGGGGATACGTAGGCAGCTACCTGTGGACCCTGGTTCTGGCTCTCAGCGATGCCATCAGGGACTTGGCTCTGTTTTTCCACGCCAATCTCCTTAGCATGTGGGCTTTTGTCCCCACGGTCACAGGACGTTCCAGCATTGCATCTACACTGAAGGCAAGAAAGAGAGCCACGGCAGCCTGTCTCAATGGGAGACTATCAGAAACACAGCTTTCCCAGAAACCCCAGCAGGCCTCGTTTTGCATCTCCTGTGTCATCTCATTGCCCAGGTCACACCCTAGATCTCTGAAATCAGTATTTCCAGGGATAGGACAGAGGCGTCCTAATTTCCAGGGATAGAATGTAGCCATCCGTAGCTGCAGGGAAGGCTGGGAAAGACGGCAAGTCGCGAACAGTGTCTGCTGCAGTTACTGGGACAGCCCAGTGAAATTTTCCCAGCCTGAGGACTAGAGCCGATACCTTGTTGGCAAATTAACCTTCCCACAGCCCGGCTTCACCTTCCACAGCCCACCCTTGGCAGATCCCAGCACATTAAATGTAAGCTTTTCACCTCCGGTACTGTTCCTACTGGTTGTGTCAGCCAGGAAGGTTTCTTCCCACCTATTTTTCCCGCCCCCATTTGTTAACACCACCTACTATGTGAGGTAATCCTAACTATGTTAAAAGATTTTAAAAGCCACTTCTCTAAAGTTTTACCTCCATCCCCAATTTTCCGTGTGTGTGTGTGTGTGTGTGTGTGTGTGTGTCTCCTGATACATCACTTCTATTGTATATGGTTTTCTGTAGTTCAGCAGGTGTGGGTGCTGTGGGCACCGACCTCAAAGGATGGCGTCATCTCTGATGGGGGTGTGAATTCTAAGAAGAGCCCCATTCGCTTCTGTTGGAACTCCACTACCCATTCAGCTGCAACATCTGCAAAATGGGGCAAAACTCACCTCAGGGATCCTTGCACAGCCCTGCTGAGAATGTGATTGTAGGTATCCCCAAAACTGCAAGGCATGAACCCTCGGAAGAGCTGGGGCAGTCTTCCATTTTGCCCGTTGGCTCTTACCCCCCACAGAGCTCTGCCCTAGCCATGTCCTTGACATACCTCTCAGCTCAGCAACCACTAGTCAGTGTCCACTCCTGACCCCCTTCCAGCTGCCTGCACATCCTCAGCCCTGCTCACCCTCCAGCACCGGTCATCACGTGCCCTGACTGATGCTTCCACCACTTACTGTCCCTTATCTGACTCATTAGCTGGGAGCTCTGCCCCTTCCTCAACCCAAGTGACTTTGAGCAAATGACTTGATCTCTCCAGGGTTTTTTGACTGGTTTACAAAATGTGGGCGCACCTTTCCTCAGGGCCCAATGTGAGGATTAAAATGAGATGACTGCAAAGCGCACCTGGTAGACATTTAATGCAGGTGAGTTCTTCTGCCCTTTGTGTTACCTAAAGGACCTGCTCAGCCCCGTCACCCTGTCTGTACACTCTTTGTTCCCTCTGTCAGTCTCCCATCCATTCCCCTTCTTGGAAGCCACCTGGAGAAAAATGATGGCATCGTGGACCCTGGAGCCAGACTCTGACTGGCTTCAAATCTTGGCGCTCTCACTGGGACAAGTTCGATCTGGAACAAGTTGTTTTGCTTCCTTGTGCCTCAGTTTCTTCACCTGTAAAATGATACTAACTACCTACCTCACAGGGTTGTAATGAAGTGTAGGGGCTTGGTCCTTGTGGTTATTGCTGGCTGTGCCTGGGACTCCACATGTTCAAAAGGGAACTCCATAATTTTCACTGGAATATAAAGGATACCAAAGCGGAGATTTCCTGAACCACTGACATTGTGGAGGTAACATGGTGGGTGGGTGGTAGGGAGCAGGGGCTCCTTGAGGTAAATTACTATGGGTATGTCCAGTGTCTGGTGCATAGTTGTTCAGTAAATACTGGTATCTTATGGTCTCATCCCGTTCTTACTACCTTGCCTAGGCCCTTCTGTGATGACAAGCAGCCCACGTTTCCCTGCCCTTGGTCCCTTCTCCCACCCTTTGAACCTCTCACATCTGTGACTGCCTACAGCGCAGCTCTGACTCCTGCCCGAGGTCTCTTCATGGTAACTGCTTCACTCTCCCTGCTTCGCTTCTATTTATCCGGATCTCCCTTACACCCAAACTGGATTCTCTGCCATCTCCCAAAAGGCGTCACCATTTCCCTACCCATGGGGCTTTGCTTCAGTCTCCATCATGCCCTAGAACTTCCTTCCAGTCTCAGTGTGTCCACATCCTGCCCACTTCACACTGCCTTTCCGTGTCCTTAACCTGCAAGTAGATTCCTCAATATGCCCAACTCTTCATTCATGACACGCATGCTTACTGGGGGGGGGGGCATGTTCTGGGCTGCTGAGCTTTTTTGTTGAGCCCCACGGTAACCTGGCAAACTTGCAGGCACTCTGTACGTTCTGATCTTATGTCAGCTGTTTTTGTCCCCTTCCTGGATTGCGAATATTTTGAAGATAGGGCTGTGCATTACAGTGTGTGGATTGTTCTAGATGAACAACAAAATCTGCCACACGGAGTTTTTGATGATGTTTTCTTTCTAGGCCTGGCACATGCCACCAGAACAACTACTTTCAAGGTAGGGATGTCCTGTCAACATAATCCCAGAGTTCTCCTGGCCTCAGCATCCTTGACCCTCTGAGCCTTATCAAGTAAGAGTTAAACAGTGGTTCCAGCATGAGTGGGTTACTGGTCAGAGTCAGCAGGCTCAGCCTCAAGTAACCAGACCCATATGTACACAAAGCAAATAATTTACACATTCAGCTTCCTTTTCTCTCTGGGAAGAACGGCAGAAATGCAGGCGCTAGGGCTGGAGTGGGGGTGCCACGGGAGGAGGCAGCAAAGTTCATTAGCCCCCTCATTTGGGGCAAAGGGGATCCGTGTGGTGACAAACAATTGTCCTGGAGGATTTAGGAGGATTTGGCCAAGTGTCCCTGTGGGCCCCAAGCCTCGTCCTAATCCGGTCCACATTTCAGACTACTTAGGATCGCATTAAATGTCAAAGCCGGCGTTTAGGGAAATATCTACATTTCGTATGCATCGCTGGGGTCAAAAGAAAAGCTGAAACGAACCTTCGAGCAAGAAGCGCTCTGTGTGGTCCGGAGTGTGAATGGGGACAGGGGGCTGCGCCCTCGCGGCCTCCAGGCCCAGGAATGCGGGCTTTTCACATGTAGAAAATGCTAATGCTTTGTTCCTGCTTCGGCCTCCCAGAGGCTTGGAGGCACCCGGCCGAATTGTCACAGCTGCATTTGCATGTGAGCGGCCCCTTGTCTCCATCCCCACCCCCACCCCTCCCCTCCCCCCAGCCCAGCTTTACTGGGTACTTCTGGGACTGATGGAAAGACCGTCTGCAAATGTCCTCTGCCATTATTTATTTAATCCCCGCTAAGGCTACTGGTAGCCTATTGGGAAACTTTCTCAATATCTTTCCCCTGAGACACCAGGCAGGTGATTTTTTTTAACTCCAATTTCAAGGTGTTACTTAACACTTTCAATTATTTTATATGAAATAACTTACTCCATCAAGGAGTTGGATGTCCAGTTTCACATTTATGTTCTTGTGGCAAGAACCCGGCGTTTGATGTGACACTTTGCAGGGCCTCCAAACTAACAGTTACGTGGGTCATCCTCTGAGTGAGCAGCCGAGAGACCACAGGTTAGCGGCGCGGAGAGGGGAGACACTCAGCCCCAAAGGGTTAAGAGGCGGCCGGAGCGCAGATGCGCGGGTTTCAAGTGGCGATCCTGGCAGCGCGGGCTGCGGCAGGCGGACTTGATCCGTGGGGCCGCTCGTGGGCCTTGGGACCCAGAGCGCCACCTACCGGCCGCACGGTCGGCTGGCTCGGTGAACGAGCCCCGGAAGAGCGGGGATGTGATCCAGCCCGGAGCGCCCCTTCTCCCCAGCAGGGCTCCACATGTACTGGCTTGGAAACCTACCCGCATCTGAGGGGTGAAGCGCATTGGAGACCCAGCATTTCCTACAGCTGAGCTTTACCTCTGGCCGACACCCGGGGGCCCAAAGATGCAGGAGGAAAAACTCATCCTGCCCAACAAATAGACTACTCAGATTCTTTCAATGATTACGGTGTTGGATTAATTTCATTTTACGTATAATATTTGTTTACTTTTATTTATTTTACTTTCTTTTAGTTATTTTATTTAGTTTTCATTTCGTTTATTCCCCTTTATTTTACTTCATTTCATATCCATTTTCCTAATTTTATTTCATAATTCCCTTTATTTTTTTCCTCTTTATTACATTATTTAAATTTAAATTTCATTTTATTCATTTTATCTCTATTTTGGTTCATTTTCTTTATTTTACTTTATTTGTAGGTGAAAGGAAAAGCTGGCTACCTTTTTCATAGTGTTCTGAGGCTTATGTATTTTCCTGCCTCTGCATTTTGAGAAATAGTGAAAACAAATACTATCTCAGCTAATTATTAGGATGTTTGTCTCCTCTCACAACTAAACTGGAAGCGCCTAAATGAAAGTCAGGGACAAGGTTTGATGTTATAATTGCGCCAGGGAAATGTGTTAATTCACTACAAGTCATTAATAAATATTTCTTAAGTTGACAAAATGTAAAACCCTCATTGCATGTCCCAATATCCAATTTTTAAACTCCATCAAGGTGCATGCTGTGGGCAAGGCACATTGCCACATACACCACAGGGCAGAAGTCAAGGTGAGAGCGCACAGTCCAACCTACAGAGCTCCAAGCCAAACAGGAGGCAAGGACCCAAGAATTCAAACAGGGCTTCATTGAGGAAGTGTCATTTCAAGTGGACAGGTGGAGAGGAGCAGAAGGCTGCTGCAGGTGACTGGACAATAGGGGACAAGTTCCAAATCATTAAAACTAGGAAAGAAGGTCTCTGTCACACTGCAGAAATCTTAGGTGCCTGGAGGGAGAGTGGTCTGTAATTTGATAGGCAAGTGGTCATTTGTCTGGGAAGTCTCCGTTCTCAGACTCTATGGTGATGTGGGGTCCACAGAGGGCCTTAGCAATTGTGACTCTCCAGAAAGACCATGTACAATATGGCAATACGGCATGTTTTCTGGGTTATTTGGGGGAAGGGGAGAATGAGTCACTATTTATTTCCTATATTCTCTAGAAAGCACTATGAATTAGATTTCTGAATTTTCACCTCCAACCTTTCATTTTGAAAACTATTAAACTCCGTGTGTGTGTGTGTGTGTGTGTGTGTATTTTTTTAACAAACTTTTGAGACTAAAATGTGGACACATTTCTTCACCACTGAACACTTTAGCCTATATCTCTAAGAACAGGGCCATTCTCTATATAACCGTAACAATAACTCCCAAGAAAGTTAATATTGGGGTGTCCTGCTAGCTCAGTTGATTAGAGCATGGTCCTAATAACGCCAAGGTTACTGGTTCAATCCCCATATGGGCCACTGTGAGCTGGGCCCTCCTTAAAAAAAGAAAGTTAACATTGATATAATAATTGTATTTAATTATACACAGTCTGTATTTAAATTTCCTCAGTTGCCCCAAAATGCCCTTTATTGCCGTTTTCTGTCTTGGTCCAGCATCGAACTTTAGTTTACAACATTCCCCCAGCTTTTTTGGTCCCTCATGACTTTGATAGTTTTGAGGGCTCCAGGCCAGTGATCTTGGAGGAATTTCCTCCGCCCGGATCTATCTGATTATTTCTTGATAGTGAAGATGCATTTTTACGGGGAGACAGCCCATTATTTTCATTTGTGTGACACACGCACACGCACACGCACACGCCAAGCTGAAGGACCTCTCCTCAGAAGCCAGGGCTGTGGTTTCTTGAAAAATTTTCTGCTCTTGGTTTTCTGTCTATTTAGATTCCAGCACCCGTCTTTAACACCACTCTCAAAACAACCCAATAAGGAAAGCACCAAGGCAGCCAAGTTTCCCTTTCTGAAAATGGCACATTGTCCAAATTGAGAAACTCAGCTTTCTATTCCCATTTAATTATTGCGCCTTTCATTCGCACTGAACCCTGGGAAGGGAGGAATCTGGGAGACTAGAAGTGGTTGCAGACAACTTCGGGTGTTACAGGCAACAGTGAAAAGGCCAGTTGGAAAGAACCAGTTGGGGTCCGGAGATGAACTACAGAGGCGAGAAGCTGTTAGTGCTTGAGCTGCATCTGGTGCAATGCAGGGTGGACTGCAGTGCTGAGCTGGGGAGTAATCCATCTGCACAGGGAGGGCGGGTGGGGAGCAAATCTTTGGAGACCTCTGGCTCACAGCTTTATGAGATTGGAGAGGGGCAGGGATGGGAGAGGGTATAAAGATTGAGCCCGAGACAGCTACAGTGGTTGGCTTCCTTTCGCACGCCATCCAGGTTTTCCTTTGCTGAGAAGGAAAAGGGGACTTTTTCATTATGATCCAAAATAGAGGTGAGCTCAGGGTGCTGCATGGCTGGATTTTCCACCCTTCAAATCCCACTCTGCTTGAAAAAGGCCTTAATTAGGTCTCGCAGCCCTAAGTCAACCTGTATGGCCAGTGTTCCTTTTTTCAGAGGGTGATCCTACTGAATTAAAATTCAATTAATCCAACTTTAAGGGCAAGAAAAACTATTTGTGAAAAATCATTAAACAGCACATAAAACCCTTTGAGGAACAGTGAATACTGGGAGAAGTACAGCCTGGCTTTTGTTAAGATACTTTGAGCCCAACGAGTTAACTTTTTTAAGGAATTTTAACAAGATAGTGGTCAAAGTGGAATTTGTTCATGTAGTTTATTTAAGGTTTTACAAGGCCCTGCTAAGAGTCCCTCCCCTGAGTCTGGACGAGAAGAGAGTTTGGTAACAACGTGGTGAGAGGTATAATCTTAGGGGCATTTTGAAATCTGTGAGGAAACAAAACAACTGGCCTGGACCCTTCAAAAATGTCAGGGTCCTGAAAGACAAAGCAGGAACCGGGAAACAGTCCAGGATTGAAGGGGACTAGAGAGACATGACCCCTGAAGGCAGCATGTCATCCTGGACTGAGTCCTGGGAAGGGACAAACAAATGTGCCCAGAAAGGACGTGATTGGGACAACTGGTGAAATGTGAATAGTCTGGGGATTAGATAATAGTATTGTATCAACGTTAAATTTCCTGATTTAGATAACTGTGCTTTGGTTATTTATATAAGAGAATGTTTGTAATCTTAGGAAATGCACAAAGCAGTGATTAGGAAGAAAGGGGCATCGTATTCACTCTCAAATGGTTCAGAAAAACAATTATATATATATATATATATATATATAACATACATAACATGTATGTACACATATGATACATATTACGTACGTGTAACATACACGCACATGGGGAGGGAGAGGGAGTGACAATGCAAATGGGGAAAATGTTAACATTTAGAGACTGGCTGAAGGAAATATGGGAGTTCCTTGTATTGTAATTATTTTTCTGCCTTTAAAATTATTTCAAAATACAAAGTAAACAAAAATAAAAATAAGTAAAACTAAATAGATAAACTTAAGAGATAAAAGCTTTTTTAAAAAATGAAAGGAAAGGGTAAGATGTAGGGAGATAAAATGTTCAAGTCTGATGACAACATTTATTGGTTTCCTTCTGCCAGATAATACCCTAAGATAGGTGCCCACAGGCTGCGATACAATTAGGGATCCTCCTAGGAGAGGTTTATGAGCTGACTGAGTAGACCTAAGGCACTTGCTTGCAATCACTGAAAACCCACGGGCCTCCATGCAGCCAGCAGCCAGCATTCAATAATGAGTTACTGAGGCCACAGGTGCCCAGACCAGAGTTTGTGACTTAGCCCTTGCCTCCAAGGGGCTGGCAGTTTTACAAGGGAGACAGACATGTGTAAAAAGACAGCAGTGCAGTTTGACAGGAATTGTGATGGCAGCATGAATGTGGGACTGTGAGTCTCAGGCTCGGGAAGGAACATACCAGAAATGACTGACTTCCGAGATGAAACACTTGAAGTAGGTTTTGAAGGCTGAGTAGAAGCTTTCCCAGTAAAAGGGAGTTGGGAGCAATGGTAGCGGGGACAGCCTACTAAAGCACAGAGGTAGGAGACTATGCAACTACTGGACAAGATTTCATCAAGTGCACATGGAGCAAAGGCTGGAGGCTAGACAGGTGAGTCATTGCTGGAAGGCTTAGAGGAGGCCAGGGTTTCGGAGCTGAGATTTGATGAGGGAGATTGCTACGGATGCATGAAAACTATATATTACACACAGACGTAGGGAAGGTCTGGTACAAAAGCACAGAGGTCAGGAATGAGCAAATCCCAAGGTGAGGGCTGGTAAACACCCTGGAGCCCAGGAGTCTGCACAAGGTGGGGTTGTGCAAGGTGTTTGCTTCTCACCTGAGCCTGCATGCTTTCATGTAAGGCCTCAGCCTATAGTCCAATGGTCAGGGTCAACTTAGAAAAACAGAAATGACTTTACATATTTATACAGAGGGAATTTAATGGAGAGATTTAATTGGACAGGTGATAGAACCCAGAGGTCAGCTAGAGCAGGAAACTGATGACACTCCTTGGCTGGAGCGTCAAAGGAGGAGATGAGATTACCAGCATGCAGGGTTTGAGGTCACCTGCTGAAAGCTGAAACCACAACAGGCATGGAGCTGGAGCCATGGAAAAGATGCATCCATGGCTGGAGACTGGAGTTGCTATCCAATCCAGGGAGGGAAGGGAAGAAATACCATAGCTTCTCTCTTTTTCCCATTCTCTGGTCAACTGCCAGCCTCCTATTGGGCAAACCCAGCCAGAAGCCAATTGAGTCAGGAACCTGGGGAGAACACTGCAAGGATCAGCCCCTCTGTGATACAGAACCGAGCAGGGGAGAGCTAGGAACAGATCTGAGGGCTCACAGGCCCAGAAGCAGCCCAGTCAGGACTTCTCCAGGAATTCTTTTGTGTCCTGTATGTAAATTGCACAGTCCTTTTGGTACCAGTATCAGCATACACTCCTTGAATGCCCAGCATTCTGCAGCTCAGGAAATAATACCAGCAATTACCCAACTGCTTAGGCCAAAACTTGGGAGTCACCCCAACTCCCACCTCTTGACTTTACCTTTCTCTCATCCAATCCATCAGCAAATCTTACTAGCCCGTCTTCCCTTCCCTTCCC